TCAGCACCTCTTCAGAGAGAAAGGTATGGGGCAGACTGGGCAGGGTGTGGGGCTGAGGGGGCTGGGCGCTGGCTCTGGGCCGTCTCAGGCCGGGGCAGGGTGTGGGGCCGAGGGGGCCGGGCGCTGGCTCTGGGGTGTCTCGGGCAGGGCGAGGGGCCGAGGGGGCCGGGCGCTGGCTCTGGGGTGTCTGGGGCAGGGCGAGGGGCCGAGGGGGCCGGGCGCTGGCTCTGGGGTGTCTCGGGCAGGGAGAGGGGCCGAGGGGGTTGTTTCAGTGATAGTTTCTGCAGCAGGGGCCAGAATCCCTTTGCTCCATCGCTCTGGTGAAATGGCAGCAGGCGGTGGCCTTGCAGGTGCTGGGGCAGGGGGCAGCCGGAGCTTGACAGGACAAAATCCACAATATCTTTTTTTAAACCCCTCTGTTTTGGGGCCTGACTTGGGCATGTTTAGTGTAGGGGAGACCAGCGGAGCAGGGTCCAGTCTGTAACAGGCTGCCATGAAGAGGAAGTTCCCAGCTGCTATCCCTGTCCACTGAGGGGGGGCAGGAGGGGTTCAGCTCAGTTTGCACCAAGGGAGATTTAAGTTAGATACTCAGAGAAACTTTCCAGCCATCAGGGCGTTAAGCACTGGGGCAGGTTCCCAGGGGAGGCTGCGCAATCCCCATCACTGGAGGGTTTTAAGAGCAGGTTAAATAAGTCCCTCTCCGAGATGGTCTAGGTACAACGTAGGCCTGCGGCAGCACGCAGCTGGACCAGATGGCCTCTCCAGGTCCCGTCCAGCCCCACATTCACGGGGTCGGATTCACGTTCTGAACTGGTGGTGTTGGCCATTCTCTGCTTCACGCTGTGTAAGGTGGGACTCCAGCTCCTCATGTCTGGGCTCGGCAGTGCCCGTCCCTGAGTCTGACCTGGGGGCAGGAAGCTCTATAGTGCAGGCTGCTCCAGTGTGGGAGCGAGCACGAGGAACGCAGTGCTTTGATTCCAGTAAAAGCACACGCTGACCATGGCGAGACACGGGAATCTGCAAAGCCATCCCTCTGGTGCGCTGGGACCCTGCCTAGAGGGTTCTTTGCTGGCCAAGCCAGGAGCTCACTAATCTTCCATCAGAAATTATGGCCACTAGAAACGCAACCTCCACGCCCACAAAGAACAGGGCCAGAGGTTCATCTCGTGACCAGCTGGTCCCGTGGGATCTCAGGAACCAGAGCACAGGCGAGGCACTTGGGTTTTTTATTTCCTAGTTTGCAGGGTCTCTTTTGCGTTTGGGGCTCTTGGGGTCACAGCCTCAGCTAAGTGTCTGACTGTGCAGCGTTGGGCGTGTGACCACGTCTGTTCCCCTTTCAGTGTGACCTGTCTGGACTGTGGCGGAACGAGCTGGGCTCGCTGATGGAAATAAATAAAGTTAACGATGCAGGAGAATTCTCCGGCAAGTACCTCACAGCTGTGACGGCCACCAGCAACTGTATCCACAGCTCGCCCCTGAAGGGAGCCCAGCATGACAGGACACAGAGGAGCCAGCCGACCTTTGGCTTCACTGTGAACTGGGAGAAGTTCTCAAGTACGTACCACGTGCTGCTTTGGGGCCGGGGGCGGGGTTAACTCTCAGCATGAATGGGGGGGCGCCAGGGGCACTTGGAGGATTATTTTGGTTTGTTGGTGTGCCAGAAATGGTTGTGGGAAATATGTGACTCAGTGCAGTAATTGTGCTCGATATTGGGAGGTTAAAATGAATTGTGTCTGGCACCAGCAAGCCCGTTACTGGCTACTGTCTCCGTTTCTGCTGTCCGCATTTCAAAGGGATATTGCAGCCTTGGAAAGGGGTCAGAAAACAGCTAGCAGGATGGTTCGAGCTCTGGGAAACCAGCTGCCTGGGGAGAAACTAGAGCGGCTCAATCTATTTAGTGGATACAAGAGAAGGTTATGGGGGTGTCAGATCATGGCCTATGGGTGTGCACAGCAGTTATAATTTGAGTCACCCCGAACTCACCTCCTGGCCACCCACACACGTGTCTAGCTTACGTAACGAGGTGCCCTAAATCCCAGATAGCTGGCTCGTTGGGGGGTTGTGTGGGGGTTGAAGCCTGGGTGATGCTGAGGCTCCAGCTAGTAATGCAGGGGGTTGGGGGGTGCAACAGCTCCTGTTACAACAACTCATCAGCAGCTAATTCAATCGTTCTGCTAATCCAGCCGCTCGTGTAACTCCAGTGCGGCTGCTCTCACGACAGCTCGGCTAGTGCTGTAACACAGGGGTACTCACGTCAGCTAGTGCAGTGACGATAAATCCTGCAAGTACCTGCCTGTGGAGAGCTTCCTCACAGCCGATGACTCTTTAATCTAGCAGACAAAGGTGTCTGGAAACTGAACCCAGACGTATCCAAATTAGAAATGAAGTGGAACTTTTTACCGGTGCAGGTGATTAGCCAATGGGACAGCTGAGCTGGGCACGTGGTGGATCCTCCATCGCTTGGAATCTTTAAGTCAAGACGGAGTCTGTTTCCGAAAGCTCCCTCTGGCTCGACCAGCCATGGCGGGCTGGACGCTGGGATACCTGGGGGAGGTCCCAGGGCTGGGTTACGCGGGACGCCAGATTGCGGCTGATCACAGGGAGGACGATGACGTGATCAAATGACCAGGGGCGGAAGATATCCGCTGCACTTTGTATGGGCTGCCGTGGGGCGCGGGTGGGTTGGGGACGCCAGAGGAGCCTGCGCACAGCTGAGCGGGTCGAACCAGGGCCCGAAGGAGCCCTGCCCCTGCCCCTGGCGCATGGACAGAAAAGCGCAGATCTGGTGATGGTGAGGAGGAAGCCAACAGACTTTGGAAATGGCCTCGGCACGTGGGGCCTGGGAGACGGCGGAGCCCAAGTGTCCCCCAGCCTGCAGGCCTCTCCCCTTCGCGACCCTGCCCCGTCTCATGTAGCCGCCCAGAAAATGGAGTCATTGTGCTGCTCGGCCGTCTGGGCCGGTGCCGGGGAAAGCGTGTCAGCGAGGAGAGATGCTGCGGAGGCAGAGAGGGGCTCTTTGTATGCCTGTGGCACGGGAGTCGTGTCATCGCCACAGCGCGCCCTCTCCCTCCACCCTGAGCTCTGGGCCCGGTGTCTGCGGGACGCAGAGCGTGTGGCACTGTCTCTCCCTCTGACTCCTGTCCGGTTCCCTCGCAGACTCGACAACCGTCTTCGTAGGCCAGTGCTTCGTTGGTGATAAAGGGAAGGAAACTCTGAAGACCATGTGGCTGCTGCGTGAGGAGGTCGGATCCCCTGGAGACGGCTGGAGAGCGACCAGGTGGGTGACTGGGCACAGACTGGCCAGGAGCGAAGGTGCCGCCTGCGGAGCTGGGGCTGCAGGGCCTGGCCCCGTCTCTGCTCAGCGCTGTGCCAAGGGCTGGGATCCCAACCCGGCTCTGAGCCCGTGCGGGATGAGCTGGTGAAGGGCAGGGTGGAGCTCTCAGCCCCAAATCCCAAACCCTTGTGCCCCTGCCCCCCCTGTATCTGGCTGGAGGAGAAGGAGGTGGTGTGAACATGAATGAAGGTTTATTCCCCAAATGTGCTGTGTTCCCTGAGCCCTGCCACACCCCAGGGCTGTGTGTGATCCTCGGCGGGTCAGGCCGGGGCCGGGGCCAGGGCCATGTCCTCCCACAGCTCTTCTCCGAGAACTCGCTAATGGGTGAGCAGCCCACCGGGGGTGTGGGCATCCTGTGGGGGGGCATCCCCTGGGGGCCAAGTCAGTGGCCAGGGAAAAGCACAAAGGGTGGCCTTGTTGACCCACCCAGGAGGGGATGGCTGGATGAGCAGCCCCCAGAGCTCCTGCCCACCCCCGGGTGCTGCTGGGTGGCTCTGAGGCCAGGCCAGT